TTTATATATAAAAATACATTTATATAAGAATGCAGAGTGCAAATCGCATAATTGTTAATCAGCATCAAAGACTCCTAAGGTAAAGTTACATCTTAGTATAACATTATCACACAGTGACACTCTATCTCATAAGCATGCTTCTAGCAGTAAATCCAAGAAGAAATTGTCATTTGTTATAGGGGAAATAGCTTGCTTTCATTTTGATGCTTTGTAACTCCTTTTTGTGAGGACAAGAGTAGAGAGGTACATGACTTGCAACACCACTTCATTTGCTTGTGTTAGTCACTCTTACTTTTAATCTCCTCATAACAGATCCATTCCTTTTCTGATCAGAGACGTTTTACATCTGGAAATCTCCAAGTATTTATTGTGCGTGAGTTGATTTGAAGCTTGGTTTAATATTCCAATGCTTATAATTGAATTTTGGTGGTCTTTGCTTGATTGCAGACAAATGTGAAAGCATTGATGGGTAATGTCACCTTCCCGGGAGCTTTTGTCACATCACGCTTGCTCTTCAGTTTTTCTTAGTGACAATTCTAACCTTTCTCAAAGCACAAAACCCTCTCATTTGTGGATGCTTGCAGTAGTTCTGTAAGAAACATTGCACTTCAGCAAACCTTCATGTGTGGGAGGAATATATTTAGCATTCACTATTTCAAATCCATTTTTTCTCTGTTGTCATCTTATGCGATTTGCATTTTGCAGTATTAGAGAAAGGATCCACTGCTCCTGTTTATCTTAGAGGACTTAAAGTGGGATAGACTGTGTGAGACTTCTCGTGGGGAACAGCTGCTTCCCCAGTAGTCTCACGGATGAATCTGATACTGGGATCATTCTTATGAGCAACTGACTGGTAGCATGAATGATGTTTGCCTAGTCTAGTTCTGAAGCAAGGAGGGAAAATAATTTTTACCAGAGATAGAGAAGTTAGTAAGTAGGATTGTAATAATGCCAAAATCTGCTGTCCATAAATTCAGACATCTAATCCGAATTAGTTGCCTAGGCTCCTCATACAGTAAATAGAGAAAAAGATGCATTGTCAGAGGGCTGTTCATTCAGTTCTCAGGCAACAGTCAGGCCTTTTCCAGAGAGTGATTCATCCTATCTGTCTTGTACCCTTAATTTCATTGGGATTCAGAATAACTAGTTAAAATTAGACATCATACTTTCACATGGCTGACATCAAATGATGGGAATCTTACTCTTGTTCACAGATCAAATCATCTTAAAATACAAGTATTTTTGTATTAAAAAATTATAAATATCTGTATATTTCTTACATAGTGGCACAAACTCATCTTTTGACTGCTTACAGAAAGACTGAGACATTTACTCTAAGAAACATGGCTGTTGAAAGCATAGATTTGCTTTAAGTGGCCCACAGATATTTTTGTTAAATCCTAAAACTCTTTGAGGTAGAAGATACGTTTAAAAGATGTGTGTGCACAGTGGAAACAGTTGCTTATGTAAGCACAAGGGCACTTGTATACGTTTTGGGCATCCAGGCTACAAAGGTTACTGGCAATCATTAATGATACAAGTGCATGAGAAACTGTTTATATGTAATTTAGAAAAATAGGATGCCACCAAGCATCAATGTCAAGTCAGAGCTCGCAGTCTGTGTTATATAGTAAACCTGACTTTTTGGAACAGCGGAGATTATTGAAAATTTACAGGACGTAACAGCTGCTAAAAGCCAGACTTTTTCAGGTGTAACGTTGATATGAAGTCATACTGTTGCCCTCTACTGGCCTCTGCTGAAAGCTCTTAAGGCCTTACTCGTCAAGTACCATGGTCTCCATGCTTAATTTCTGAAGGACACTGTTAATCCATTTCAGACAAACTCCAAATCATCCTTGGAAAGCAAGTGTCTTCTCTTTAAAAAGACATGGGGATGGGGGAGAGAGGGAGGAGGGCTACAACTCCTACCTGTCAACGCTCATCTGCTTGCAAACTGCTGAAAGCTTTAACTTCTACATTCAAAAGCCCTAAAACATAAAAATGTCAGCTGAATTAATTGAATATTTGAGTACTGACAACTGTTGGAGTGTTTGGATTTCCGAGGCATGTATTAAAGACATTGAGGCTCATGAGAGAGAGAGTATCATATTTCAAACTGCTCAGTGAAAATACAGCTATAATACAGTGACTGTAGTCATCATCCTAAAGAAAAAAGTCAAATTCATGTACTTGTGCTTTCTGAGAGATGGCAGAATACAAGAGGGAAAAATATTTATATATCACAAGATATATAAATATTTTGTACTTTGTTACACAGTTTTTTGCTGCTGTCATTAAACAGTAATAAAAGACAGAAAAGAATAGTCTATCTACTAAATAGTGGGGGGTTTATCTCCTTAAATAACCATCTAATCTCAGCTGCCCTCAAATCTGTACATCAGTTGATCAGCTCTACTGTATTTGCAGTCGGTCCTTCTGAAGAGCATTTTCTGTAAGCTGTTTCCATTACATACTTTTTGTGATCCTTTGACATCTTGTTCCCAAGAAGGTAAACAACCAATGTCTTCCTTCTGAGCAATCATGGAGGAACACCTCCTGCAGAGAAAAGATGAGAAGAAGAATGAGGCTTCCTTTTTCCAAGTCAAGATGAATATCCCTGTTATTAGGGACCACGGAGCTTTAAATGCTTATCTGTTATTGCCACTCTCTTACACTCTGATCTTTGGCATATCAATGAAATATGTCTGATTTTTTTTTTTTTAACTGTAAAATGTAATTAATCTTTCTTACCTAGTTTCCAGGATTGAGTACGAGCGTTAATAATTGTTTGACATTTGGACTATGTTAAATCTCTCTGTACATGCAAAGGTTCTTTCATGAGCGGAAAGCTGTGCATTGACTTAGAATAGACTTTGCTGAACTTATATTTTCGAGTAAAGGTTTGTTACACCTTCAGCATTATGATTGTGCAGAAACAATTCCATTTTGTTAATAGAAGAGTACTTACTGTGTCTTAATTTGTTGAACTGTGTTTTTGTACTAGAAACAATCTAATACTTGTTCTCAAAGGGTTGTCTACAGGAAGAGGTGGCAATTGACTCAGATTCCAGTGCATTGCCTAAAGAGTTAAAAATTAAAATGCCCTTGGGGAGTTACAAAGCTTTATCACTTCTTCCAAATTATGGAGCTAGCTTAGAAACTCTTCACTCTGATTCTGAATAGCTCAGTATCCACATTACACTAATGTGAGTTTGGGAAAATCAAAATGCTAAGTGACGCTAGTTTAATGGAGCATTAAACTAAATACCTTTAAGATATGGGATGCTGCAAGGGAGATGCTAAGATTCTTCTGCTTCCATTTCAATCGTAAATTGCGACACAGAATTTGCAGAAAATTTTGATTAACTAGCTTCTAGAAGTTAATTCAGATACAACATTTAGAAAGAGTAGATTTTATATTTAATTTGGATTCTGAGACCCAGAGGGCTCTAAAAACGATCAGATGTGAAATAGAAGAAATATTTGGGAGCAGTTAATGCCTAACCATAAAAGTGACCATGAATAAGTCACTGTAGAATGTGGTTTGGGCAAGGGCGGTTGGTGTTTCTTTTTTTTTTTTTTCTTTCTTTTTTTCTCCAAGGCTCTCTATGTGATATATTGCTAGAACAAAACCAAGCGGCAAAGAGTAATATTTTGATCTAGCCCTGCATCTTGCTCAGGTGGACCTTTATTTGTAATTTTCTTAATGCTTAGATCTCTTCTTGTTTCAACTGAGAGTGAAGTGAAGGACAGGAAAAAAAAAAAGTACTTTTGTTTGACAAATAATTGTGCTACAAGGAGGCCATATTTATGGATTCTGATGCTTTTCTTGTTTTCAGGTGAGCGTCCTTACCAGTGTCCTTACTGTGACAAAGCCTTCAGTAAGAATGATGGATTGAAGATGCATATTCGCACCCACACAAGGGTAAGTGTAGCTTAGTTTTTATGGTTACTTGAGGATTGTCTAGGAATCGTGTGGCAAAAAGTAAGTAATTACTGTTTGTGTAGACATTAGGCTATACTAACCAAGATATTTTATACTTATCAAAATAAGAGGCCAAGATTTAAGTCATTAACTGTTAAATTCTAATTATTACTCCCTTACTGACCTTCTATTTTTTGTGTTTGATTTCTTATGTGTTGAAATAATAGCAGAACTAACTCCTTCCTGTAATCTGTGCTTATTTATATTTATAGATATAAATTAATGTTTGTGATTGTTTACTGAGTAAATAATTCTGTAAATGCTTCACTATTCTTGAAACTTTGATATCCAGTGCTTTGATTCTTACTGTCTCCTTAAAATCCAGTCACTGTGAGCTTTTATATAGAGACTGTATTTTACTAACTGATGACAATTATTAAGCTGCAAAATTACTTTATTTAACTGAAGGCAAAATAAAAGGCAAATTGCAGATTATCTCCAAGATTATTTTTGAACCTTGAGTCTCAGTTAGCACAAAGGTTCCCTGTTTTAGGGAAAGGTCTTGTTATGTATGTGTATTTTCTGGAGGACAAAGACGAGATCTTGACCCCACTCAGTTGGCAAAGAGATGGAGACCTGTCTTCAAACAGCCGGATATGAATTCCCATAGTAAAGGGAGATCTCCAGGTGAAGTTGAGCTGGTCTAGCATTATATATACTACCTGTCTCTGGCCTCTCCATCCACCATAAGAAAACAAGCAAAAAATTAGAAGTAGACTGTAGGTTTTACTAGTAATCACTTGGGAGCTGTTACTGCTTACAGAAGTCAAGGCAGCCTTGAGGCCAAACCAAGAAAGTTCTGTATGTATTAGGAAATAGAGAGGGCGATAGTTAAATTCATAGTCTCCATATGCAAATCTGTAGGAAGAATAGCTTTCTAAATAAGATAAGATAAGATCAAAACTGTTTGTTTAATTTTCTACCATTCTATCTAGGTCTTGAGGATATTAACTGGAGGTCCTAGATAAAGTTTTAGCTTGTGTACCCCAAACTTGAGTTTAGAAGTTATCAGTAGTTTGTGGAACGCTTCATGGTGGTTCACTGGGAGCAGGCTAGCCCCATGTTGTTAGTTGTTTCTCCTTCTTTCCAGCTGTTAAATCACTTTAAGAAGTGCTATAAAATCTTTTCTGTTGTTACTGTCCCACATTACTTTTTTTGCACCAGGAGAAATTTCATTACCATATATGTTCTATATGGCTGTGAGTGGGAGGAGCAGTAAACAAGACCAGCTCTGAAAATAGTGTCAATTTTAATTTTTTCCTGATTTGTCATACAGTTTGAGTAAAAACAACAAACCCCGCAGCCTCTGGAGAAAAGTAGTAGAGAAAAAAAGAATAAGAACAGATCGTTAGAGCCTGTAATGATGTATCTCCATTGACTATAGTGTTATATACCAAGTGATGATTTCTTCCAAAATGCATGCTCACAAGTGAGGTTAGAGAACTTTATAAGCATTATCTTCATTGTTTGAAAGCTGTAGATTAACTGATAGCAGTTATTTAGAACAGGATTGCATATTCTGCGGTCCTAGAAAATGCAGTGGTTCAGTGGAGGAAAGCTGTGTAATTTTTCTTGATAATTGTATTTTTTTGATAGTTGTATAAATTAGTTCTGATTACCTACACAGTGTAGATAATAAAGTGCTCAGATATGTTAACAATAAAAAAAAAGTAATTTCAAAGTAGAGATTTTTAATGGCACAGAATGGAAAACTTAGTCTGCTTTCTTGGGATGTTTCTTGCTCATAGCTATGCTCTGAAAAATAATTCTGTGCCTTAGTGGAGAATTTGCTAATTTATTTTTGTTTGGCTGCTTCCTACTACCTTTTCTGTGTAACTTTTTTGCTTACATATATTCTGATACATCATCATATTTTGTCTCTGGTAGATGTAAGCAAAAAAAAAAAAATCTTTGGAATTTGCAGGCTCGCTCCAAAATGCTTCTATAAAATTGGACTGAAAGAAAAACTGAGGACTTTAATGTTGAAACAGGAGGAAAAAGAAAAAGTAGTGTGTTGAGAGAAGAAAAAAAAAATCTAGAAAAATATTATCCAGGAAACAAACAAAAAACCCCCTTTCAGTAGAGAAAACAGCTCTTTAGTATGTAGGTTATGTAATTACTGCCTGAGGTGTTCTCTGTCTTCCTTTTTCCTACCATTTCTTTCTCAAGCAGGTGCATGCTACTTGGTGGAGAAGAAGGTGGGAATTCTCCAGTACTCTTGCTCATTTAGTCAGATTCTCTCCTTACTCTGTTTTGTAGAAGTGATTAAGAGTTATGGATACTGGGATGGTTTACTTTACGAGGTTGATAGCCTAGAATATTTGTATGTAACACTGATAGTTGAATTTCCAGCTTTGAGCATTTCAGATCTTTAGATCTGGATCTTTAGAACAATATAAGCTGAACTGAAAATTCTGAGCTAATGACATCTAAGTCCTTTTTGAAGCAAATGCACAGAGTCACGTTTTAGCACCTCTGGTGTTCATGGTAGTCGTGGTCAAATTCTTCACTCTGGAAACCAGAGACTATGTGTATGCTAACAAGTAGTACAATGCAGTAGTAGGTATGTAAAGTGAAACAGTTGATGCTGAGGCCCTGATGTTTATCGTGTGTATGTTTCAATGATTTTACTGCAGATTATGTGTAGTCTGGTCCTCTGGACTGAATGCACAATAGCGCTCCCTGGAATGCATTAAACCTTCTGGTTTCATTTTGTCCAAAAGGAATCCAGGTCATCCAGTCCAAAACATTTTGGAAGTGTGCACCAAAGCACAGTAACAAGACATTTGGGAAGTGTGCTTCACAAGCACACAGCTGATCTAAATATAAACACTAAAGGAGATGTATTTTAACTGTACTATGTAAGAACTCTTCCAGTGAAAAAAGATAATACCTGTGCAGAAATAGCTTGAAACCCCTCAGCATGATACTAATTCACTATAACTTGTTCTGTGATCCTAGGCCATTTGAACAAAGACAAAACCAAAGATTGGCAAATAAAAAATGTAGTGTGTTTGCCAATGTTTATTTTTGTCAGTTCTGAGAAAAAGAAAAGTCACACTTTGAAATTTCTCTCTTCGGGCATCTGACGCGTTGACTTTTCGAAAGATTGTAAGGATGTTGGCTATTCCTTTTCTTACCCTTTCCTACACTTACACGTACATTTTGTTTTGAAATTTATTCTTGCATGCAAAATAATTAATCAAAGAATAAATAAAAAGATGTATAAATCGAGAAGGTATTTTTGTATCAACTAAGCCTAGCAATGTGGAAATAAATGTAATCGTAGCACTCTTCCTTAAGGGCTGTTCTTGTCAATATTTTGTAAAAAGAGTCTGGTCTTTTGGCCAGAAAAATTGTGAAGGAGCTTAAAAGTAATAATATGACATTCAACAAGGAAAATGTCATTGTAGAGATTAAATCTAGATATATTTTACCAGTGGGATTAAATGCCAAACCTGATCGTGTGGATCAGGGAAGGCTGCTGGAAAAATCATTGTAGAAAGTTGATTAAGGTCTGGCAGCTGCTAAACTGAGTACAGCCTGGGTGGCCACAGGTGTCAGCTCAAACTCTGGAGTAAACAGAGAAGGTAAGCCAAACACCCTATTGACAATGTAAGGAGAAGAAAATACCAACCACCTAATACTAAAATGTCACCCGAGTACTGATTGTTTCTATGAAAGTAAATGTGTTTGGTTTATGGTTCTGTTTTGGGTTTTTTTTCTCCTTAAGAAGAAGACATATAACAGCCTAAGAAAAAGTAAATGAGGAACTCATTGAAGTTCTTGATAAAATGAATTTCCTCAAAGCTGATATGGTCTGTAAATACATGCATACTTCCAACCTTCACAGTGCAGTAAATTTCAGCTCTTTCCTAAGGCTTTATTCAGTGCCTGACATAACATTACATAGTTTGAGCTTAAATGTGTGGAGAAATTATTGTATGTTACTGCAATATAATTGTTAATGTTTGGAAATACGATCATTGATAGGTGCCCAGAGTTATTGTCACATCAAATTGATGTTTTCATTACTTTTGAAAGTGGTAGTTTTATGACAGTTTGTTTCAATTAAATACATGGCAAATCAAAAAGGGTAGAAGCCATTTGCAAATGCTTTTTCATCACTTGGTTTGAATATTTCATATTTATACTTTGAAGGTATAACAGAAAAATGTAATTTTTGTAGCTTATTTGAAAGTCTGATTTCTGGTAGTTGGAAGGCTGCTGGCTGAAATGCTCAAATTGTATGTTTCTGAGGTAATATTTAAAAATTAGAGAAATTACAATGTATTAGGTACATTTCTCTGTTACTATTTAAAACTGCACTAATCTTTAAGTGTGTTTAAAAGAGCACCTAATGTTCAGAGATTGTACCGTAAGAAATACAGCAAAATAAGTGATAGGCATATTTTTCTAACTCTGCAACTAACTTTATTTGTCTACACTTGAAATGTTAGCCAGTGTGTATATGTTTATATATATGTGTGTGTACACACACAGATATACACACACACACATATATATGGTGCGTGGAACTGATCAATAGATTGCAATTGATGTTACATAGCTTCTGGACACTTAAGCTATCAGTACTCACAATATTTGTCTCCTGTTCTTTCTTGTTCATTTGAAGCTGGGCAGCTTGGATACTTTTAGCAGTGTAGCCTCAAAATTGCAAGGATTGGTGTGATCTAGTGGCCTGAGTATCAGATATGATTTGAAGTCAACTCTTGAACTCCTTAATCTCACAGTTAATTTGTTAGTGGTGGCTGGGAGTATTAATCTGAAGCTTTCATGAATATGTGTACCTGGGCTGCTGTCATTTGAGTGGCTTCAATGTAAAAATATCCTTAGAAGCTAAGGACCCAAGGCCTGACACAGTATGTGCGAGAGTTAGCCAACCTTGAGTTAATTTTGAGTTGTATTTATGAATTTCA